TCACCAACTTGAATCAAAACATATTTTTTACACTAAGTTCAAACACTCACATTTCCAAGCATATTGCACCGTGGTTGATAGAATTCGTCCAACATTAAAGGATTAAAGAAATATAACATTTATCACTACTTAGTGACCAATCACTGAAATAGCATCTAATAGTAAATTTGAAGATATCAACCAAATGGTTTAGAAATTGAGTGATTAGAATTAATATGTTTTCATTGGTATTCAACCTTCAAAATATTCTGATTTAATTTTAGGTTAATGATAAGTTCTAAAGTAAATTATTGTATGAATTTGTTCATCGGGGAAAATGTCCCCTATACCTAATATGCTTATATTCATAATTTCTACTTAGAACCACAGTTCTTCTATATACAACACTTACTGTGGTGCAAAAGATGTGGAGTAAGTACGACTCAGTAGAACAAACGTAAATGAATGACTGTTATACGTGCATTAATTGATCCCATGAGTAGTAACCAATGGTGTAGTCGATTGGTCGATGATACTGACACAATATTTGGTTATGTCGATTACATAACTGAAGGATGATACAAATAAGCACTTAGAGACAAAGTCTATGAAAGTTTAAATAAATTAATTTAAACCAGTACATGTAAGTTACTAGTAAGTTTGCTTTTAAATACCTTTCGTCTAGGTTATGACTTGATAAGTGAAAAATATTGATCAATGATAGTTAAAAGTTTAAATATTCCCTCAAGAGTTGTATCAAACAATTCGGCCATAGTAGTTCTTTGAACAGACGACAAAAATGACAGTTCTTATTCGATTAATCTAACTATCCATCTCAGAGAATAAGACATCTTTAAAATCCTCACTCTGAGTTATAAATATTCTTCACTATCACATAAGTTATTTAACAAAGTTCTGGTTTTAAACTAGAAACTGGTCGTTGATAACATCTTGGACCGTGAACCGATACTGATAGTCAAATCCCTACGAAGATCATTGATTTCGTCCACCAATAGGGATACGCTTTTATGACAAGTACCGACGAAAATACATTTGAGACTAATAAATTAACGGATGTAATGAACCTATTGATCAATAATATCCTATGATAAAATATAGCTGAGTGATAACTACTCATATAAATCCCTAGTTGGATGGAATTAGAAGACAAGACAACTGACCAGTTTTTCCCTAACAAAATAACATCCTTACATAAAAAATATTAAACATAAGAATAGACATAACAAATAAATTATTGAAGGATATAGGAACTATAGGTCATTTAATATCCAGTAAAGCTATTATCTAACTATCAAGTTAAATTCTTTATCAAAAGGGGGGTTTTGTGGAGATTTTTAGTAATTTTTTTATATCGTTGAAATCATGAGTCAATTGAAGCTAGACCACCATGGAAAACATATACTGATAGGTCATGGGTTCGAGTCTCGCGAGGCGGGATCGTGGATGCGCACTGATGAGGAGTCCCACGATAGGACGAAAAGGCTGTCCAGTGCTTCCAGGTTTTCCGTGTTGGTCTAGCTTCAATTGACTCATGATTTCAACTATCAAGTTCAATTATTAATGATTTATATCATATTAGTTACCAATGGAGTGTTCATTCACTTTGTCATAAAGTTAACACTCAAATCATTGTAGGAAGTGATCAACAATACCAGTTGATCAACTCCAGTTTACGTATGAATACCTTCTATATTTTATTTGACCTATTAAAAATATTTAGACATTAGAAAACGCTGTTTCGGTATAAACAAAATTATTGACAACGAATAATCACTCAAACTCACAAAGGTCGAGGTCAAATTAAATTTGTATTGACGTCATACAGATTGCTCAAATGTAGACTGTTTAATAAATTTTAAAGAATTAAATTAGTGGATAGTAAATTTTTGATTTCAATTATAAAATGTCATATCATTAAAAATATGAGATAAGTACAGTCCTATTAGTCGAGTTGCGATGTGACTCGACATCTCATGCACTATTTTTAGATGTATGGTTGCGGTTGGATATAGTTGACAAGAAATCTTTCTTCACCCAGATTTCAGGTTACTTGCCACTCGTTAGTAAGGGTACCTGTAATCTTGGGGAAACTGATGCTTCCTGGTAATGTAGAGTCACCTGAAGTAATGGTCAAATAGCAGCTCCATAGATATTACTCAGGCAGAACTATTTTATTTATTTATCTATTTAAACACATAAATATTGGTACAAAGGGGCACCAGATATATATGCACCACACAAATCTCATTTGATTTGTGTGAGGCCTGTGATACTGCCCACGTGCTCAAACTGAAGCAGGTGGTTTTCTTAGGCGACCACACCTGGAGCCTTTGACCTAAAAGTCTGATCCACAAGGCAGTGGGGCATCGTGAGGAGATACAGTCTCATTTTAACCGGTGACCAACGATTGATTCATACGCCATTTATTCCTTCAGGATACTGGAGCCCATGTGCACCATTGGTTTGAAATCAGGGTTTCCTAATTCCCCTATGTGGAATCGCCGTGTCCACCAACCCAGTTAAATCACCGGACATTCACTTTTCGTCCTCTCGGTTTCGTAAACAATACCCCCTTCACGAGAAGGTAGTGAGTAGGACTTCCCTGATAGAGGCAATATACGCGTGGCCATGTGAGAGCATTTAGAGAGAGAGAGAGAAAGGACTCTCACCACTCTCAGTCATACCACTGCCAGGCAGAACTAAGAAGAATTTGACAGATATAACATTGGTCGCTAATCAGTGATCGATCGGTTTTAAATACATTTCAGTCCTACAGGTAATCAGCCACGTCCCGAACATCTCAATGGTAACGTCTCTAGCTGTATAGCAGGATGACGCGGAATCGAGTCCCCAGGGAGCACCAGCCCCCAAGATTACAGGTGTCTTTCTGATGCGTGCGAATAGCACAAAACCTAAGTGAAGAAGAGTTTCCTACCGTCTACCACCAATTTACATCTAAACGTCGTGGGATTATTTACGCGATCAACAGTACATAAACACTTAAACAAAGTAAGCATATTTCATGTTTAAGTGAAAACTTTACCAAGTCTAAAATTACTAGAACAAACAATCTATAAATAGTATGCAAATAGACAATAAGTAGCTATAATAGCTTGTTCCTAAGTGTATCCGATATACCAACCAAGAAAATCTACATATGAATTTTAGCATGTGGTTTAGTGGGATAATGCTACGTATGAATGATATCGCTCAGTTCGTTAAAAAGTTGAGCATTAAAATAAACTATTTTTATGAGATGACGCTGAGGAGCACTTGGGACATTTACATGTGTTCATTTTCCTAAAGCCACTTTAATAGGTTAATTTTAGTAAAGAATTTGATCAGGTGATATACCTAAACTCTCCTCCATAGAATTAGTAGGTGATGTTTATCGTAAGCACATTGATTTTAACAGTGAAACTGATTTGAAAGACGAATTAAATAATGGTTTTGATCCCGTCACGAAGTCCGATAGTCTGAACGCTAAACTCGACACTAGATACGAAATAATTAAACCATTAGGTTGGATCACGTTAGAGACAGATATACGATTACCGACCAAATTATGGAGAATCGAAATAAAGGCTAGGCAATACGTTATCTAACACAAGTACTCTCAGCCCCCACATACAAAGAAAACCTTAGTAGAAATCTAGGTTATATTTAAAGAAGTGATCCATTCAACAGATTACAGTGGGCCTATTTGTCTTCAATTAGCAATCAATCAAAGCTAGATTTCACCAAACACATAAGTAACATAATTCAAACGAGTATCATTTATCAAACCAAAGCATTTTTCGATTAACTTATTTATATACTCGGCCTTTTACTTATTTAAACACATAAATATTGGTACAAGAAGGCACTGATTGCATATGTACCACACAAATCACTCGATATGTGTGAGAACTGGAATACTGCTCGGGCCCCCAAACTACAGCAGGTGGTTTGCTCAAATGGCCACTCCTTGGGCCTTTAACCTGAAGGTTTAATCCACAAAGCAGTAGGACAACGTTAGGGAATGAAGTCCCATGGTAGCTCGTGACCAACAATAGGTTCATACTCCAATCGCTCACTCAGGATCCTGGAGCCCATGTGCACCATTGTTTTGGAATCAGAGTTTTGCAACTCCCCTAGTTGAACCCTTCATATCTACCGACCCGGTTAAGCCGTAGGAAATTCACTTTTCGTTCTCTCAATTTTGTAAAAAAACACCCCCTTCACGAGAAGGTAGCGAGTAGGAATTCCATGGAAGTGGTTATATACGTGTGGCCATATGAGAGTATTTAGAGAAAGAGAGCTGACTCTCTCCAATCTCGACCGTACCAGAGCATTTGGGGACCACACTCGGTCTTTATGAGAATCAGTAACAGTATTAAGCTGTCTAAATTAAAGTAAGTTTTAACAATGTTATATTTCTGATCCCTTATAAAATATGATCCAAGCAACAACTACAAATTAACTCAAACCAATGTTGTGCAATATAATCTTTTTCTATTTACAATAATAAAAAAAATGAAATTCACAGTGAAGAAAGAAGAGTGCATACTTTCATAATGAAAGAAAGTGAGAGAAAGGGAGAACAATACATAATCAGACGGCGGGATTGTGTTTTCAATTTTACTAGAGAAGAAATACAACAATTCATTAGATATCGTCGTGATGGGGGGTGAATGATCTGTGTTGTGTTTGACTCGAATGGATTGTTCTTTTTTTTTCGTATCTATTCAGTTAACTACTTAGAGTTTAAAAAGCATATTGAATAATGATTGTTATATGACAAGAGGGTACAACAAATTGATTTGTGAGACAACAATTATCAATAATATTTGCTTAGGATAAAGTTGCTATGTAAGTGAAAAATCAACATGTATACATTCTATTGGCGCTGTACGAAATACATAGATTTATAAGCATCTATTTGACATGATGTAACTAAATGAGTTATAGTACAACGGTACGTTCATCCAGTACACTTTTATACATCTGTTTATAGCAAGTCAATAAGTATATTCATATGGAACTTCAATGATAGTCGATTCAGCTTGTGGTTTTAAATTAGGTTGATCAATACACCATTGATTAACTGAATCTTGATGTTCAGTGAATAATTTACATTCTTCTGTAGATAATGTATTTGAAATTTCCGGTTGATAAGTTTTCATTGAACTTGGTAACCATGACTGTGGCAATGGAACATCAACATTAATCTCATCAGATTTACCATGAATTGATTGATTGTTCACAGGAGTCCAACTAGGATTTGTATGATATGTTGAACAATCAGGTTTCTTTTGTAAATTTGAATAGTTCTCGTCTATATTAGATATTTGTTGAATGGTAGGAAGTGATGAAGACCATGAATTATGTTCTTCATTATGAATATTTTCAGAATAACTTTGTTGTTTACCATCAGAATATGGTGATGAAGATTTCGATGAATGAGTATTACATTGAGAAAGGGAATGTGACGAAAGATTACAACTTACATTATTTGATTGTTCAGTTAATAAATGATTTTGAATATTATTAGCTGGTACGTGATCTTCAGCTTGAATAAAAGTATTTGATTGGTGTTCATTGGTTAATTTAGGTGCCGTATATGTTAAATATTGATGGGCAGGAATTTTGATAGCTTCATCATCATGAGTTAATTGATTCACTGGTTCATTAGAATGAGGTGAGATTTTTGACTTTAAACATAACTCATAACTTGTATTACTATTATTTAAAGGAAAATATCCTTTATCATAATCATTAGTTCTTCCCGTGTTCTTCTGGAAGTTATTCATTTCATGTGTTCTATTTTTAATGAATTCTAAATCTTCATTTTGGTTAATTGAATGAAAATGTTGAGGATTTGACTGTGTGGAGTGTGGAATACGTGAATGATGACTGCTGTATTCAATTTGATTGGAAGATAATTTTGATGTGTCGCCACAATTCAACGAATGTGAATCTTCTTCATAATCACTTCCCTAAAGATTAGTGGAAGCAAAAACAGTAAGTTTTTCTCTTACGAAAAGAATTATTGATTTGAAAAATAAAGAATAACTGAAGAATTGATTTAAAGTGCAAATCATACTCAGAACGTCTAGTCAGATGAGTTTTCATGAGTCAATAAGTTGTTTTATGCAGGGAACTTCGATTGAAATAACCTTTTATTAGTCAGTACGAGGTTATGAAAATTCTTGAATTTCACTGAAATTATGAACCAATCTAAGTCACACAACTATTGGAAACCTGAAAATAGTTTATGACTGTTTCGTCCTTGTATGAAACTCCTCAGCAATTCCCATAAACGAAAACAATGGAAATGGTCACACAATGTCGTCGATTAATCGGGGTTAGACATTAACATCGCTGAATGTCGGATCAGTGGTCTGCAGGTTAAGGGTACTTGCATGACTGTTTCTCGGTTTTATTTCTAGATGAGATGTAGTGGATGAGCAATGTTGAAGAGTCTCATACTACGACGAAATGACCGTCCAGGGCTAACTAACTTTACTAGTTGTCTAAATTAGATCAGTTCATGATTTCAAAGAAGCTTTATGATAAGTATACATGAGGTAACATACATGAAACATTCAAAAAATTATTGCTACCATTTTAGTTTTTTAACAATCAGCATATTGATAACAGTGTTAACACCTAATTCGGTGGGAAATTAAACATACTCAGACATAAAAGAAAAAAAAGTGGTATTTATATGATGAGATTAAAACTCAATCGCTCCAGTTCTACCTATTTTTAACCACGTCGTGTTTGGTTTCCAATCAATGTTTATGGTTATCCCATGGACACAGGTATTCATAAACAAGAAACAAAGAAAACAGTATACAAAACTTAATTCATTTTGCATTTTTTGTTTAAATTTTCCCATTCATTTTCAGTAGTTGAGATCATGAGTCAACTGAAGCTAGACCACCATGGAAGACCTGGGAGCACTGGACACCCGTTTTGTTCTATCGTGGGACTCCTCAGAAGTGCTTCAATTGACTCATGATCGATGTTAAGGACTACAAGTGATCAGACTCTTATTGGTACAAAACTTTGTAAAATTACCGAGAAACATTGAAATGGGGCTAAACCATTAAAATTTATTTGTAAACGATATATTGCCTAATAGTTTCAAATAAATTGAGCACTGGGTAAAAAGTTAATGATAAATATTATTTTCTGTTATTTATTTAATCTGAAGAAGTGGCTTATACTAAGTCATGAAACGTCGGAAATATAATTTTTCTACTTACTAGGATGCAACAAAAAATAGAATTTTCATTGTTGAAAGCGTGAGTCAATTGAAACTAGACCGCTATGGAGAACCTGAAGCACTGGACGGCCGTTTCGTACTATTATGAGACTCTTCGGTAGTGCGAATCCACGATCCCGCACTCACGAGATTCGAACCCAGGACGAAACGGCCGTCCAGTGCTTCCAGGTTCTCCATGGTGGTCTAGCTTCAGTTGACTCATGATTTCAACTATGAAAATACTAAATCTCCATAAAACCCCTTCTGATAATAAAAAATACATTTATCATAAGTTATGTAGTGTTATCTATTCAAGAGTTTGTATAACCTAAAGATTTCTGCAAGTGACATCACGAATCCCCTCTTACATTTGAGTTTTCTCATAATTGTTATTCTGAATTTCCAATATGCATCAAACTACCAAACTAAATCAGTTTATGAATAATTATGAGTTACTACTGTTAGATTGTACATTATGATAACGAAAATGCAAATTTGCAAACATTCATAACGATTTTGATCAAATCCCCAATAACTGTTATGTTTCTTGATATCTATATGTAAGTCATTTTTATGAAGTACACATTTATATAATTAAATTAGAGAGCCCTCTTAGGTTTACTGCCTGTTTCAAGCCTGAGTTAATTACCCCATTCCATAAATATGAATCTTACAGCAAATGAAATTCTAAACAGATTAAAAGCACTGTTTGGATGATACTATCCGGCAATTAAACAGAAGTAGCTCAAAGAAACATTTAAACATTTTAATCAGTAATAGAAAGTAGCTCTATATTTACTCCAATCTGTAATTGTCACTAAATAAAAGTATACAGTTTTTTTATAGACAAAAAAAATTCCTACCATTTGATCATCTTCAGGTGTATCATTCGTTGTTCCATTAAGAAATGCTGTAGGATCTTGTCCTTGACGTAGAATTTTCTTCAATTTTGAACGCTTATTTTGAAACCAGATTTTAACCTTTGAGTAGAAAAACGAACAAAAGAAAATAAAAATGATAATAAGCTAAATCTGTTTAATTATCTAGTCAATGTCTCCTGAGTAATAAGTCATGCTTATTATTAGATTGATGTCCAAGTGTGCAGATGAATATCCTTGTTCAGTAATCAATAAGAGTGAAATATCTAGCACTTTCAAGCATTTGTCTGTTCATTTAGTGTCCTACAACGGTACTAGTGTGATTATTTTTCATGCTTTTTTTACTGTTAATCTCCCGTTACCCAGTCAAAGTTTATTGTTAAAAACAATAGAATCGGATAAATCAAGAAGAAAGAATACAATCTGGTGAAACCTCACTTCAATAGTTCAACACTATTGGATCCATTGTGTAATCTAACAATTGAAAACTATTATTTAATTGTGGAAGATTAAAATTCCTTGTGTACTAATTAACACTAGGCTATAATTAACTTAAACAACTGTTAAATGTTCACCCATATATTTGTCTACTGATAACATATACATAGAGGATAAATAACAATTAGAATAATTAATCAATGAAGTACGTTGAATTCTGTATTCATTACATACATCTCTAAAGATAATGCGGGCTCAAAATGATATGTGTGTATGTAATTTTAAAGAACATATTAATATGATCAAAGAGTAAGGGACTACCTGAATTCATAAGATATATATATATGAATAAATCCTCTCTGCAGTTGATTGATCCGGGGACAAATTTTCTTTAATCAAATAGTTTTACTCACAGTCAGAAAGGTATAACTATCTTACCACCTACCCAGTTACCTAATCATAGTCTTTTGCAGTTTCTTTTACTATTTATCACTAACAAAAACGATTGATGTAATTCATTTTAATATCTATTACTAGTGTTATACAGTAGCATACTGTCATAGAGTAAGTACAATGGGTCAAGGTCATATATGCATATATATGACATGAATGTTCGTCATTTGTCTCTGGTGTTTGTGAAATAATCGATAAATCAAAGTTCTTTGGTTAATTAGTATGTTTGAGAACATTGATTGAATATTTAACCGAACTATTAGTGAATATCAAAGGCATTAATGAACTGTTTCAATCTGATACAAGACCCATTTAAAATCTGAGATCAAACATCATAACCAGTATGTCATTTTTACACTAACAATTCGTCATTATTTCCACATGACGGTACATCGATATATCGTAGTCAGAAACGTTACCACTGATGTACTTGAGCATCATCTCGATTGATAGTATTTGATCAACGCTAAGAAGGATTCAACATAGATGATATTGGTCAATATCCCATGGCTAATCAATTGTATGCATCAATGATAAAATTTTCTCGCTTCATAACATTGTATTGAATTAACTTTTAATCTTTACAGTAATATGTGACTGTAGTATTCCTTAATTCGAACATTAAGGTGTCACTCTGAACAATAAAATATACTAATTATTTCAGTATACGTATAGTTTTCTACTGATTAGTTTGTATGCGATAACTCAGTCTCAGTAATAAATACTTAATGTGAATTAAGACCATATCGAGACAAGACGCACAATATGCACATATGCCAATTAGAGACTGACCAATTGCAGTCCTAAACATCAAGATTCAAACAAGTAATACTGAGTGAATTTAAACTTCACCCCATTGCACAAGCAAGTACCTGTTATGACTCAGTAGCTGAGTGGATAACGCAATGGCGTTTGGAGCGAACGGTACTGGGTTCGAATACCAGAGTGAACATAAACTCTGAGATGCAGGTACATCCAGCTGACGAGTCCCAAATAGAACGAAATGCGCTTACTGTTAGCCACCATCCATCTTTGCTTAATGTAAATAATTTGTTATAAAATTTCCCATTAATAATAGTTATATGTAAGTATTAAACATTATCTAATTATCAATACAGATACATTTCTGTAAAAGCATCCAACTCAGCTATAACCAGTCGACTTTTCATCTACTCACAGAGTATCTATCATTAATCGGATACAATGTATGACATATAGGGTTTTTGAAGCATTTCTTATATTACTGTTGAAATTATGCAAACTTAACTGGTCAGAAAGGTTACAAATAGGTGATGTTCACGATGTCAATCAATTCAATAAAAAATTTATCGTTTATATAAGGGGATTTATGAATATTGTAGAATTTTCAATTTAGATTAAAATGACTTTACCTAGACCAGCATTGGAGACAAGCAAGCATTGGATGGTCATTTCGTTATATTTTGGATCTCCTCAATAGTGCTCATCCACAAACCCACGTGCGAGAATCTAGCCAGGCACCTTTGATCTCACGTAAGTACGCTTAACATGTAGATCACTGATCTGCTATCTAATGGTATTAGGATCTAGCTTCAATCAATTTACGGTATTGCTCAACCTACATCTGCCTGTGGTAAGTAGCTGTCTCACATACGACAAGTCTAAAGTCAACTGGTTGAGTCAATGGTTCAACGTTGCACAATATTGTGAATTTATTGAAGTTGGACATTAAAACTATTGTATGCCAGTTCAGATAGACCGAAGGTCTTAAGTCCAATTTCCTAGGTGTAGGGTCGTGGATATACACTAGAAAGAAATAACCACCTAGTGCTTACAGATTTTCAATGATGGTCTAACTAAATCGATTTGTAATTCAAACAATGAAGATTTAATTCAGCTAGCGAATAATTTTTCATTTTATTTAAACAAACAAATATTGGTACAAGGAAGCACCAGATACATATGCACCACACAAATCTCATTTGATTTGTGTGAGAGCTGTGATACTGCCCACGTGCCCAAACTGAAACAGGTGGTTTCCTTACTGGACTACACCTGGAGCCTTTGACCTAGACATCTGATCCACAAGGCAGTCGAGCGCCTTAAGGAGATGCAGTCTCATGGTAACCGATGACCAACGATTGATTCATACGCCATTTGTTCCTTCAGGATACTGGAGCTCATGTACACCATTGGTCTGGAATCAGGGTTTTCTAACTCCCTAGGTGAACTTTTCGTGTCCACCAACCCGGTTAAAGCGTCGGACATTCGCTTTCCGTTCTCTCTATTTCGTAAACAACAGTAGTGCCACGAGAAGGCAGTGAGTAGGACTTCCCTGGATGTAGTTGTATACGTGTGGCCATGTGAGAGCATTTGGAGAGGGAGAGTGGACTTTCCCCACTCTTGGCCGTAAAAGAGCATTTGAAGGCCAGCTGGCAATAATCTTCTTGGCATTAAAACTCCTTTTAGTCTTGATAACGTCTTTTTTTCGAAATTCTACATTATCACTTTATAAAATTCAAATAAACTTTTTAAAAAGTTGGATAGTGGCTAATAACAGTAACGAGGATAAGGATTTCATTCTATCTAGATGCTCCTGCATCCCAGTGTCAATGTTAACGTTAAGATTAAAAACCGGTATCTTTCCTTTGGAACACCAATGAATTAGCCATTGAACTACTAAAATTCAAATAATCACTAACTTGTTCAATTGGTAATATGAATCGTTTTTTTTATTATTTTCAAGTGTACACTTTCTTTGCAAAACTTTCGAAAATCACAACAACAACAACAAACTCATTGAATGATTATGAAATTTAACTACTTAAATAGTTTTTATTTTCTCACCAACTTCAAATTTTTTCCCGCTTGTTTTATAATTTAAAATTACAACAAAATGTAACATAAATAATAAAAATTAGTTTCATTTGAATAATAATTCCATATAAAAAACTATTTAGGTAGTTTATTCCTATAATAATTAACCCTTATCATTATTGATTGTTGTATCTAGATATGTATGTACATGTAAGTGTGGGCGGATGTATGTGTTTATATGGAGGGAGGGATAGTATTATGTTTTTGTGTAACACAATAAGTAAGATAACCTATTCAATATTCCCTGTTTTTCTCTATTTTTAAAGTTAAATTTTTCGATCACCTATGTATATATATGTATTTCAGTTACTGTTCTATTTGTGTGTGTGTGTGTGTGTAATTTCACTTTTTCTTCCGTATACCATAATAAACTACTACTACTACTTATTTTCTTTTCTGAATATAGAAAAGATAATTGCTCTCTTAATTGTTTTTTTTCTTCGGTTTATATTTCATAGAATAAGCAATTGATAACAATGAAACATTAATTTGAGAAGAGAAGTAGCCTGATTCACTTCTTATCCTCTTATTATGTGAAGATGTTTGTTAATATAACGCCTCTTTACAAGGAATTCATACATACATACACATTTACATACCCTACATACATACATACATACATACATACATATTTAATAGATGAAACCATAGATAATACGATGCATGATGAACGGATAAACATTTTTTTTATTATCTACAATCTACAAGTTGATAATCTCAATTATTTCCGATAAGTATATCAGTTATTTTTTTTTTAATATTTTTTAAATTGTCCACGTGGGTGTGAGAGAGAAAAAAAGAGGGGAGGGATGACATGAAGATAAAAAAAGAAAAGAAAATTAACCCGAATAATTACTCTACTAATAATTAAGTAAATTTTTTTTTAAAAATAAGAAAAGAAAACCCCATATGATGTCATACTAAATATTATTTCATTTTAATCATCAAAATTGTAGAAAATGGGAAGGGGAAAAGGAATACAAAATATTTCCATCATGTCATCAACACAAAAAAAGGAATACAGATCTCTATATGAATGAATGAAGAATTTTTCTTTTCAAGAAATTCTTCTTAATTTTTGTAAATATTTCGTATATAGCCTCTACCTGAGAAGTTCTACTCATTACCTTCTTGTGGCATTACTGTTGTTTACGAAATAGAGAAAACGAAAAGCGAATGTCCGGCGCTTTAACCGGGTTGGTGGACACGGAAAGTCCACCTAGGGGAGTTGGAAAACCCTGATTCCAAACCAATGGTGTACATGGGCTCCAGTATCTTGAGGAAACAAATAGGGTATGAGTCAACTGTTGGTCACGGGCTACCATGGGACGGCATGTCCTTACGATGCAACACTGTCTCGTGGATCAGACCTTTAGATCAAAGGCTCCGGGTGAAGCTTCCTAAGGAAACCACCTGTTTCAGTTCGTGCACCTGGACAATATCACAGAGCAAATGTATCTGGTGCCCCCCTGTACCAATATTGATGTGTTTAAACAAAGTAAACAAATTTGTATTCAAAAATATTTTCTACAAACTTGTGAAATAATTTTCATCAAACTGTTTGTTTAAATCAATAGCAAATAGTTAATTTAACAAAATTCAAATTTTTAATATTTATTCGTACATCAATAGATTATGAAATTGAATAACAGACAGAATGTTTAATTGAACTTAAAAATTTATTGAAAAGAGTATTTTCCGATTATATATATATGAGAAAGGGTTTTGTGGAGATTTTAGTATTTTCATAGTTGAAATCATCAGTCAATTGAAGATAGGCCACGGTTGCGCAACTTCGTGGATTAGTTGAAGCTGGACATTAACATAATCGGATGCCGGCTCAGTGGTTTAGTGGTTAAGCTCTCTGGCACGAGACTGGTAGGTCCTGTGTTCGAATCTCTTGAGGTGGGATCTTGGACGCTCATTGCTGATGAATCCCACAATAGGACGAAACGGCCGTCCAGTGCTTCCAAGTTTTTCATGGTGGTCTAGCTTTAATTGACTCATGATCTCAATTATCGAAATTACTATAATATCCACAAAACCCCTTCTGATATCAATAATTTCCTTGAGATGGCGGAGAATATTCACAACTCATAATGAGGTTCATGAGGGTGTTGTGTTCTCGGAGCTGAATAGTTTAATCGTTTCATACTAAAACAAAATGGACGTCTAGTGCTTCCAGGTTCTCAAGGGTATTCTAATATTGATTGCTTCATGATCTCGATAAACACCAGACAATCCCCACAACTCTATACTGATAATTATCATATGCACAAAAGTGACCAGCTTCTAGAGATGAAATTCTCGAAGTTGTAGTGAAAAACCATAACTAGTGGGGTTCCGTTTCATCAGCAATTAGCCACCAAAGACAATGGAAAATAGTTGCACAATATTGCGGTTGAATATATACATTAACACCTTTGGATGCCGATTTATTGGTGTACATGCTCAGCGTTTGTGCAACAGTGGAGGACCTCAGTCCGACTTCAATGTGTGGGATCGCTTACAGGTTTTCAATTGTTGTCTAAAATTTGTAGATTCTTGATCTCAACATAAACTTTTAGTTGATAAATGCATTACATTCTATTCATATTAACTAAATAAACCGGATAATAAAATCGACTATCACATTCTTTTAAACTCAATTCAGTTGTATTTATGACGACAGATAATATAAGTTTAGTTATTTTTACAGTTCATGATCCAAAAATTATTTCTCTTCTCTAAAGGAAACATGACAAACATGCATACACATGCACATACACACATACCATTTGTTTGTTGTAACATTATTCGTCATAATATTTTGTCTGTTGATTATTTCTCATATTTCGTGAAGTTCATCAATAACATTGTTGTTGTTGTCATCCCGATCATCATCATTATCATCATCTAGATGATAATGTCGTGACAATTCAAAGTAGAATGATCTTACTTTATAGTAACATATTTCATTCGACATTAACTAAACAGATGGTTAAACATATGTATACTTCTACTATAAATCCTTCATTATTACATAATTATAATAGTTCATTATCAATTTGAACTATTAACTCCTTCTTTACATGCAAATTATGTTTATTGTAAAGAGTAGGATAGCTTAAACAACTGATTTATTTTCCTAAATAAACAGTATTACTGAACTCATTCGAATTTCTTTTTGATATATACATTTAAACAGTTGGGTATACACGTGTAAGGAAGGATGATCATTGATGAAGCGGATAGACAAGTTCATTTTAATCTGATCAATCAATGTTCATTTCACAAGTAGATCAAAGATTAAGATTGAACAGTATAAAGTTTCTTGAAATGAACTATAGAATAAAATCTTTATTGATACTCATATATGGATTTAATTGTTTAATTGTTATATGGTTAAATAAACAATTGTATAGGGATGGTTAAATGACGTTGTAACTGTTTCAGTCTAGATATCTGTGTAGTTCCACAAATATATACATTTCAAGAAATAGGACCAAAATGGAGTTCACAAATCAGGTTTTGCTTCTTTAGTTTCATTACATTAAGATGATGGAAATTGTATATGAATATTGATAATCCATCCATCATATCATGTTGGACCACATTCAATAGCAGGTAGCATGATCTATTTAAACAACTCAGTCTAAACACGATGTCTCAAATTATCAAAATAAATTAATCCATACTCTCATATGATTTTGAGATGATGGAAAGGATTTGTAGCTCAGGCAGATGATTCTGATGGAGTTTTGTTCTCTGAGCTGGATGGTTTTGGTCGTGGAGCTTTCATTGTCCTTTTGAACGACATCATCAGTACAAGCAATGACAGGTTTAAGGACAGCAAGAACCAATCAACATCAAAGTGTACAGGACAAGTTGTGAACCACATATGGAGAAATTCAAACACTTCACTTCTACCCGAAGTTTGTGCTGATGATGTCGTTCAGAAGGACAATGAAAGCTCCATGACCAAACCATCCAGCTCAGAGAACAAAATTCTATCAAAATTAATCCATCATCAATGATATTTATTTATTTGTTTTACTGTTCACTTAAACAAAAATCATACTTTCTAATCACACCCAAAACGTTTTCACCAATGGGGGGGTCAGGGCCCTCACATGGAATCCTGAAAGCCAAAGGAGAATAGGAGGACCAAATAACAGGTTACGCTGAGAAATGGAAACAGACATGAGAAGAATGAACAAAAACTGGATAGAACTAGAAAGGAAGGTCCAGGACAGAGTGGGTTGGAGAATGCTGGTTGGCGGCCTATGCTCGATTGGGAGTAACAGGCGTAAGTAAGTAAGTAATGGGGGGGTCAGGAGTCACGATAACTGTGAAATAATTATCAACCGAAGTCATAGATCCCAACAAAAAGCCATACCTGCTCGATCTTCAGTAAAACATAGGTTATACATATAGGTTATATAATATCTCATTCAACATAAATGATTTTCACAAGTTCTCTAATCGTTTTCACTTTATAATGAAAATTACTCTCATATATATGACTATGATGCAATCAAAATGGATACTTTCGTTAGAATATATGCACTTACTTGTGTTTGTGTTAAACCAAGTTGTGATGCTAAACTTGCACGTTCTGTTAAATTTAAATACTGAGAATGAACAAAACGTCGATTTAACATTTGTAATTGCCATATGGAATAAATTGTACGCGGTTTACGTATTTTTTTATTTTTTATGATAATATTACTATTATTATCAGTATTATTATTATTATTATCATTATTGCTATTGTAAACATTTATTTGTGATACATTATCTTCTTGTGGTGAAATAGAATTTGTTTGAGAGAAATAATCCATTGATGATGAGGTTGGTGAATGTTGCAATTCATCATCTAGAATAAGAAATATGGGTAAGAGAGAAAGGTAAACAGGTTAAAATATGGTTTCTGAGTAAATTGTTTGATTCTAAATAGAATAACATAATCAGAAATTGGTTTTGTAGAGATTTAGTATTTGTATAGTTGAAAGCATGAGTTCATTGAAGCGAGACCACCAAGGAAAACTTGGAAGCACTGGATGGCCGTTTCGTCCTATTATGGGACGCGAGATTGGTAGGTCTTGGGTTCGAATCTCGCGAGTCGAGGTCGTGGAGGTACACTGCTAAGGAGAATAACATAAGTTAACAAGAAAATCCCGAAAAAATTACGTAACAACGAATGGTTAATTTTATTAATAAATTGATTCTGAATGACTTCCCATAATATACATGAATGGAACAATTACACAACGAAGACTATTACATCCTAAATCAACTTTGTACTTGTATCATGTTTACTATAATACAATGAGATCATGATTTTGATGGAGTATATGAAGACTCTGAAGAAGTTACGAAAAAACATTGTATCATCAATACAAATATGTTCAATGTTAATCTTTGTTATCTCAATTCACTGACAAATTCATAGTAGAATCAACTTAATTATGACACATTCGAGTCATTATTTAGGGGTTAGAGAGGAAAGGTTAGCTCAATCATACATTTGTATACGACAAATAAGTAATCTGACATTAAAAAATTAACATAGTCAACCAGCCAAAGGCAACGTATTCCCGTTTATTTTATGTAATGTTACTTAATATCACATTATATGAATTAGTGACATGGTTGTTATGAAGTGATTAGCTTAGGACTCCCAACATATATATTCATGGTTTCTAGGAGTTGAAAATATCACGAGTACTAACTTGTACACCATTGGTTCCCGATCCATTGGTTTAAAGATTGAGCCTTCGTACTTGAAACCGAGGGTCCCGGGTTGGTTTTCTTTCTACGGGGTCGTCTATGTGTACTAACAAACAAGTCCATGTTAGAATGATATGGACATTCAGTACTTTCAGAATTTCAAAGGTTGTTTAGTTCGTGATCTCAATAAATGTCGAGTGAATTAAACCTCTATAATTATTATGTTTCCGATACAATTATACTGAAAAATATTTTACTTGACTGTATGTGTTACCTTCTATACTAGAATTAACAATTATCTGAGAGTTTAAAATCGACATAATATCATTGATTTTATGAATTTATGTCATGGGTTCGAATCTCGCGGGTGCGAGATCGTGGATGTGCACTGCTGAGGAGTCCCATAATAGGAAGAAACGACCGTCCAGTGCTTCCAGGTTTTCCATGGTGGTCTATCTTCAATTGACTCATGATTTCAACTATGACAATAAATGAATTATTGAAAACCAAGAACTACTGATATTTTGTGTACACATTCCTGTCGTATTCTAAGTTAGGATGAAAAAACATACACCCATTGTTCAGCATTAGGATCCATTGTACTTTAAAAGGTGGGCAAAGTTAGCTCTCTCTATCGAAATGCTTTTATTCGGTCTTGTATATATCATCTTTACTAGAGTAGTCATGCTCACTGTTTTTACACAACAAGAGTGTTTTTAAGCAAATTAGGAAAGAAGATCCCACTAGAAATCCGTTAACATTGTAATGCCAATGAAGTTAACATTTTAATTTCAACTTATTCATATGAGATATGAAGATTTCACATAATCAATAATAAGTATGCAATCTGACAATTTTCATGTTCATTTCACACGGGAACATGCACACACACACACACGAGTAGACTGACTCATTGTCTTTATACATTACCATAGTTACTATTTTGTTAAATATGACTCGTGGCAATAAAAATTAACAGAGAAAGGAGAAAAAGTTCTTACAAGAAAATCCATGAACAACCGTTATCCAGATTGAGAATGGGACATAGAAAAAAAATGAAAGAGGTTTAAGTTGAAGCACTGCTATACAAAAATGTAGAAGTCTGTTTAAATGTATGTACGTGTATGTGTATGCATACATGAATTTCGATTTCTCCTTTCATTGATAGTAAAAGCCAATTATATATATATATATTGACTCCACCTCATCCTTAGGGCAATTCAACAGATGATTGTTTTTATCTTTCCCTTGAAAAAGTCTGTCGTTTTCAACTTTACAAAAAAGTTTATCGATAGATAATTATAGGCTAAGCTTATTTCTAGTCATCTTTTTTACCATTATCACAATCTCTGATGCCATCCCACCCCTCACTTGGATGTTTCCACACCTAAACATACTTATCTTTGAGTTAATTTTTCCTCTGTTTCCTTCTGTACTACTTACATTCCGAATTTAAAGTTTATATCAGTAGTTGATAACATGTGTGTCAATGATACAATCGTTTGTATATGAGTATACAATCGTGTTAACTTTATGGTTGATAGGCGATTCGGTTAACATGAACACACATTACATCTATCGTATGAAAAAATTTGATCAATAAACGAAATGACGAAAAAAAAATTTTCTCTTTCAACTAAGAAACAAACTAGGCATGTTTTCACACTGACAACTTTTTTTTTATTTTTCCATCCAAACCGTCTGTTCTAGATAGTAACAAGAAATATCATTCTTCTACTGATACCATGTATAAATCAGGAAAAAAATTCAAGACGAAGAAGAAAGAGAATAAATACTTTTTAGACACATAGTCAAGCATGACATAAGAAAATAGGCGGAGTTTGTATGGTTACGTGAATGTATGTCTATAGATCTTATTTGTGTATGTGCGTGCGTCTACACGACTATGGGTATACGAGTATAGAAACAGTCAAATGTTATCTTCAATGAAATGTTATAGGAATGACAATATATTAAAAAAAATTATACTCGATTAAGTAAAAGATTGAAGCTTTAATGCAATGAGATAGCGATTGTAGCTAGAGTTCGAACTAAACGCTGTAATTAATAAATAATCTAATCAAATGGTTCAGAATGCAGTAGTAAATATTTTCTTACTTCTGTCGCAAGTCAGTGCCTACCCCACTTCTGAATTTAGAACTTGATTTCATTGTGTTATACAAAAAATGACTGAAAATATTCTCATTTGGATTCAGTGTGAGATTTAGTTATGAGCCGTAAATGAGCTATAGAAATGAGGTAAAACATATTTCCGTGAGTTATAACCACTTACTGTAATTTATATGCTATCTGATAACGTTTCATTGAACATACACTTTGTACAACGTCAAGGTATTTACTCCAACATCCCTACCATATACCTATAGCAAAGTAGTCTGTAATTTATAATCATCAATTTTGAGAGTATCTCTACAATTTTTACTTTGATTAAAATTCTGTAAATTAAATAACAACATAACAATTGACAAACAATAAAATAATTATTAGTTACTAGAAGCTTTAATGAAGTTGATTAGTTGTTAACTGGTTAAAGTTGGTTATCTGATGACCCGAAATGTAAGTTTCATACATCATCAAAGTGGATCTACCACTGCTTGGGTCAACTAAGATGACAGTCAAAGACGTCAACATTGAAGTGTTTACATGGAATCATTTGGTTTAAAAGATTTATTACAAATTTTATCGATGAAATTTGATCAACTCTATGAATAAGACAATATTATCTATAGTTACTATTTAGACATGCATGTTGCCCTAAACATATAAGGATATTATTTGCCATTCTGACTTACTTACTTACTTACTTACGCCCGTTACTCCCAATGGAGCATAGACCGCCGACCAGCATTCTCCAACACACTCTATCCTCCGCCTTCCTTCCTAGTTCTATCCAACTTTTGCTCATTCTTCTCATGTCTGTCTCCATTTCTCGGCATAATGTGTTCTTTGGTCTTCCTTTTCTCCTTTGGCCTTCAGGATTCCATGTGAGGGCTTGCCTTGTGACACAGTTGGGTGATTTACTCATTGTGTGTCCTATCCACTTCCAGCACTCCTTCCTGATTTCTTCCTCCACTGAAATCTTGTTTGTTCTCTCCCACAGTAGAATGTTGCTGATAATGTCTGGCTAACGGATCCAAAGTATTTTGCGTGGACAAATGTTAATAAGCACCTGTATCTTCTGGGTGATGACTTTCGTAGTTCTCCACGTCTCTAGCCCATACAGTAGATCTGTCTTGACATTTATATTGAAAATTCTGACTTTAGTGTTGGTTGACAATTGTTCTGAGTTCCAAATGTTCTTCAGTTGTAAATATGCTGTTCTTGCTTTGCCGATCCTCGCTCTCACATCTGCATCAGATCCACCGTGTTCATCAATGATATTGCCCAGTTATGTAAGGATTTATACATCCTCTAAGGTTTCTGCATCAAGTGTGATTCGATTGGTGAATGCTGTATCGTATCGGAGAATCTTGCGTTTCCCTTTGTTTACATTGAGACCTACTGCTGCTGAGACTGCTGCTACACTGGTCGTCTTCTCCTTCATTTGTTGTTTCGTGTGTGATAAAAGAGCCAGATCATCTGCGAAGGCCATTCTGACTAATCAGTAATAATAATAAACACCACCCTTCATCTATGTATATGATAAAATCTAGCAATATCATTACTGTATATGAAACTAAATAACTAAGCTAACGCTTGATTAAGTCAGATTTGAATTATTTTGTTTACTTGATTGATTGAAGAATAAAATTTAAATGTATCTTATTTGTGTTTATTTTTTCTTTCACAAATAAACAAGATTTAGTTACTGAGATCCTTTAAGAATAGGATAAATTAAATATTGCCAGGTTATGATAACACTCATAATTTACTAGATATTAATGTAAGGCTTAGTAACAGGTTAAAACCAGTATCAAATAGTAAAATATTTAATGAGTCCCAAATAGGATGAAACGAGCGTCCTGAATTCCACTGCTAGTCACTATCCATCTTTGCTTACAATATTTAATGAACCGTTTTTTTCTGTTTTAATCATTTCAATTGTTTATTTTACCGTTTGGAAACTAATCTTAACTAATTGTTGACTTAGATCTTCAGCTACTACTGTTATTATTGTTATTATCA